GATCAACACGACAAACAATCTGCGATCGGCCCCGACCCAACAATCTCTCAGCATGTATGTTACCAATGGTTTTGGGAGCCTTGACAGATCATTACTGCTCAACATCTTGTCCGAAAATGACGTCCCATAACATATGTTTAGTGCGATGAGCGATTAATTCACAAATCGCATCCACTTCAAGTAGCAGTGCGACAGAAAGTCTTCTGTACGCCCAGTCAATTGTGGTGTTGCGCAAGGAGCCATCCTATCCCTTTTATATTCTAGGTCTACGTTGAAAGTCGCCCTATTCCATCAAATTTCACAGGCTGTAAATATGCTGATAATGTCGTCTTGAATTGCATAACCCCAATCATCCAGGACCCTGACACTTTGACGAGGGTTAGACGAACTAGTAACTTGGTCAAGCTCTCGGTACCTCACTCTCAACGCTTCTAAGAGTTGTTTTCTGCATCCCAACAGACTGCAGCCTCTTGTACATATCTCCCCTCCCATGATTAGGGATGAAAAAAGCATAACTCTTTTCTCTACCGTAGAAATCTCCGTGTTTTTTTGGATCACAATTTAGCTTAGTCTACACACGTACCAGGAACATGTAAAAAAGTTAGAAGGCTCTCTTTTTACGCCCACCGACTTAAAATGCCTTCCGTTCCCCGTACTTTAATTTTAAAACTTGTAACTACATGTATTTTCCCTCCGTGGTTATACTGCTCCCCGGTTATCTTCCCAGGACTGCTTCAAAAAGATTATGTCCTTCTTATCCGTTCGCTAAATTTATTTTTTGCTGCTCTGCTTTGGGGAAAGAAAAGCTCATATGGTTCATTCTTAAGAAACATTTTGATGTATGCATCAACTTTTTACCTGAGATTTTAAGTCACCCCTCTAACCCTTTACACGCTATTCCAGCCAGCACTATATCTACTTCACCCTCATAGACAAAATATAAAGCTTTCTATCCTCGTACCTCGTCGTATCGAAACTCTATACTGCCTTTTATCTCACGCTTACTAATCATTCCAACAGGAACGACACGCCGCGGTCGTGACCGTATGCTTGATGGAGGATGCAAATTTTCACCTGTTGATCGGTTCTGTGAACTTGATAAAATGATTGCATACGTTTTGCCGTCATGAAAAGTGGCATCATCAGTGTGGCAATGTGAGATGCCACCTCGCATGGTGGTGCAACGCATGCAATTATTTTATCAAACTCGGAGAACCGATAAACAGTTGAGCAACCAACCCGGGCTGCCAGTGTTTCAAATTATTTCGAATGCAAATTACAGTTTACTGCTGTCCATTGTTATTTCTCATTGATGCATTGTCGTACTATATTCCGCAGAGTTGGTGTGAAAATACTGAAAATGCACTCATACGGGTGAATAAGCCTAATTTGAATTGACATGACCATGCCTCATATGGTTGGTTCACGTGAAAGAAACGGAAACGGGAACGATCTGCGACATTGCGCGCTACTTTCTGGCTGGGCGCATCAGTGTTTACCGATTGCAAAGTTGCACATTGCAAGCGGAGCATGCAGTGCTCCATGAGTCTACCCGGCAATGAAGTAATAAAAGCATTCATTCCATTTGCAAACGAATCGCTTATTCAAAACGAAATGCCTTGCAAATCTGCTGGACCATTTTCTCGCCGTGATGTGATGTGATGCTAGCTCTTGCCTCGGATATCACCTGCTCTAGAAAACGAATAGGCAACTCGCTTTCGTTGAGTACACAATAAGCGTTCAATCGGAGCATTTCCGCATACCTGCTCCTCATCGCCTGCTTTACATGGCTTCTGATTACACTCCAGATGCCCTCGATAGGGTTAAGCACCGGCGACTATGAAACTAGTCAAAGAATCATTACGCATCAGTACTGTCCTAGACAGAAAACGTTTCGCAGGTATAGGTGGCATGGTGCGTTGTCACAAATCAACAGACACCTTTCGATAAAATACGTACCGTTTGCATCTAGCATCTGTCCTAGCCGCTGAGCATACCTTTGCTTTTTGTATCCTCCCGATAAGGCGAAAAATGCTATCAACGCGTCGTTTGTCATGATTCCGATAAGGTGTAAATTCTTCATTGTTATCAACCGACCGCCTATGGATTGGACGGCGGTGCTGGTACTGACCTCAACCTCGAACTCCACCAACAACCGCAAACAAAGTGTTACAAGGGTTATTGTTGGTTCCGCGGACGCCCACTCAACCAGAGAGTCGACGTGACTTTCTGTTAGGGCTCTGCGACGAGCGCATCCGTGATGCCTTCTCGTTCCGCAGACTCCAATACCGTTATCCAACCACGGTAGGTTTTCAAGTTTACTTTAAGCAAACTGGCGATGTTCTTCCAAGTGTCTCCTCCCCATACGCTTACAGGATTCGGTTCCTCACTTCTAACGAACGGCGCGCACATGGACCTCTTCGTGTCAGCAAAAAGGTCATTCCAAGACGAACTAGGAAAATATTTCATCATAACTGGGAAGCGAAGGACCCAAATTGCCATAAGTTACAGGTGGCGTGGTTCCCTACTGGATTGTCGGTGATTTTGGAACACTCATGCATAATGTTGCTTTGGTGAGTTGTCGTATTTCCCTGAACGTTGACGGGATACGTACCAGGCGTCTCCATCAATTGGAAACTGACGGGTTACTTCAGACTTCGGTCAGACAAGCCTACCAGGATGGTCCGCACACTGAACTTTCGCTCTATCCTCACAATGACACTAAGCTTCAGTGAAATAGGATCTCGGCCGCCATGCACGATGTGGGAGCCTCTGCTTGCAGTGTTATTAATCGTTATCGCAGCAGTCACTGGATGTCCGAGAGGTCAGTGGATCTGCTGGAATAAAAAACTCCCGGCTGGCTCTGAGCATAGTGTAACCAGATGCACTATTAGAAACGAACAAAGCGGAGTATGCGTGCTGATACGGAAGCTTGGTAGAGCAATAGGGCTCAATAAATGGAGGTGGGAGCAGTAGACAACTATTGCAAGCTCTTCCAACTGATCCGCACTGCAGGTTCCAGGAAGCCAAGCGTCAACGAGACAATCAGAAACAGCGCGGGTGTCCTAATTCACAATAAGCAGCATTGTACGGCTCGTTGGGCAGGGCACTTTTTAGATCAGATCACTTAGCCCCATGCCTCCTGACACCTTCCTACTCAGGTGGTACAGGATGAGCCATGGACGGTTAGTTTAGAGGATCCATCGGAGGCTGAGGTCCGAAAGGTGATCACAGCCCTCAATCGTTCTCGTGCTGCTAGCCCGGATTCCTTCGCACCCGCACCATTAAAGGATGGAGGTAAGGATCTCTGGGAAACACTGAGCTCCCTGTTGGAGCACGTCTGGAAGGAAGAGACCATCCCAGCTAACTGAAATGAATCGATTATGCTGGCAGTATACAATAAGGGCAGTTGCACCGACTGTGCTAACCATAGGGGGATTAGAGTGACGCCAGTTGCGACAAAATTATTGGCCGCGATTTTCGTTCGTCGTTTCACCGCGGAACGAGAATCCCGAAGTAGGGAACAGCATGCAGGTTTCCGCCCAGGACGGGGCTATACAGGCCACATATTCGCGCTGCAGCAGGTGTTAGAGTAGTGCCAAGCGTACCGCAGACCGACAATGGCTGCGTTCCTCGACTTCAACTGTGCGTTCGATTTGGTGGATCGACGCGTTCTGTTCAAAATACTTGCGTAAAAAAGTGCTTCCATGAAATATGTGAACATTGTATTTGCCGTGCACTCGAACACCACAGGCCACATCAGGGTATAGGGTGAATAACATCATATCTTCCCGAAAACAAGTAGCGTTCGTCAGGATGCAGCTCTCGGACGTTTCCGGTCAAGCAACGTGGGGAAATACTAAAAAGATGAGATCCCAATTCTGCTTAGATACAGGCTTGAAGTGCACATTCCCCATGAAGGTTAATGTATGCAATGAGCAATTATGAAAAAACCGATCGATAAAAGCTACTGAAAGCTTTCTGTAAAAGCCCCGAGTTTAAATTACCTTTCCTGATACTAAATCGAACAAGCCATGTTAAACAGACCTGCATCGCTCTCCGTGAGTGGCTTGGGATTGCAAGGCATGTAAGCTGAGATTGTCAGTGATTCGAATGTGGTTGTACTTCCTGTGCGGCACTAGCCTAAGCACAGCCATTAAGTTGAAGTTCATATAACGTGCGGAAAAGAGGACAGAAAATGCTGTCCAACCGTGGTTGCATCTAAGGTTTAGGTGAGAAATGGAGTCGGGTGGTTCAGTTAATGGTATTTGTATGGGTTAGCATTGGAAGTCGCTTTAAAAATGCGACGAATCCGCACCATTCTTGTTGGCTCGGATATACCTAATCGCGCGAATTCGACATCAATTATCCCGCAGCCTAACTATCTCTCTATGACAGCAATGCAGATTCAAACTTTCGAGACATGGTGAAATCCCAATTCAACCAAGTTAATTAGTAAGATTTTGGCAATTATGTACATGAACAAGGACGTCTTGGAAATCGGGAGTGCCGGAGGTTAAAATGACCAATGTATGGTTGACGGTCGATCGATTTTTGATTCTATCACCGAATTCAAGTTTGATGCCAATTGCTACTACAGTGGTAACTCATTTCCTGTCCAACCTTCACACGAGGTATGCTGTCAATGGTAGCTATCTTAGTGGCTACGGTCTTGGTTGTACAGTTCCGTGAACCATTGTTGTGAACAGACTGAGTTCTCGGTAAAGCGTTCCATAGTTGATGTCCGACAGATAGCATGTGTGTTTCATCGACTGGTTGCCTGGATGAAGCCTCGTGTAGATGTGGACAACATGTGGAACCATCCGACTGTCAAATAACGCAGCATTTACAGATAAGCTAACAAGAGCAGGAGTAACGCGTTGGTAATGCGAGCAACACCAACGAAATCAGAAAAGTAGAGTAACTGTCGGAGCGATGTGGTTAAACAGATAAAAACCGGTAAAGTGGAAGAACAAAGTGGCGGTTGCATATCGACTTACCGGTGATTATGTGGCAGGAATCGAACTCGTCCCTGTCTCGCAAGTCAAGCAACAAGTACGGGGGAGCTGAACCAGACAAGTTAGCTTCGTTCACTTTTCTCGCTGATGCCACCTCTTCTGTCGCTTGCTGAGAGTAGTAGCTGTCAAGCTCACCGACTCCATGGATTAAACTGAAAAAAGTTCGAACACGCCACAGTAAAATGGTAACAATGCACACACACTAACAGCGACGAAAAGAAATGAGAAAACGTATGCACAGGGGTAAATCAGTATCTCCTCATCACCCCTGTTATTCGTGCACACGAATAGTATCAAGTAATAGTATACCTGCTCCGCCTTCCCTCCAACATGGAACTTTATCAAAATTAATTTACGGTACTCACCCACAGTTGAAGTGGGACTGTGTATGCACACAAATAGATATGACTCCCAAGAAAGAGACATGAAAACAAATTAAGTGGGAACACAGAAGACCCACTTTTCAAGAGTTGAGCGCGAAGGAAATGAAATCTGGGAGTCATGTGGAGGCTTAGCACCGACAATCTGAGTTTCTTCTGGTCGCCCAGCATTTGGGCCTCCGTTTGCACAGTCTGACCGTAACGCAGTTAAAGATAATTTTTCTTAGTTCTTTACCTCCCAGAGCCGCATCAAAAGTCTGAATATTAATATTTTGCTTCGTGGTCTCATGGACTTGCAGTATCAGTTGGACGAAGGTGGATAATTTCAAGCGTTTGAAAATTTCGTCGTCCCGTATCCTAAAATCTGTTTACCTATTGGGTTGATCAAAACTGCGAAACTCACTCTCGCGGAGCTCTTCAATTCTCTTGAGATAACGAGACATACTAGCTCCGGTGTCAACAATGGGGGTGACATCCTCGTACTTGGGATTTCTTGGTATAGCTTTGTGTGATAGCTGTCACATAAAAAACAGGGATATAAAAGATGGGAATTTGTGAAAGGAATGCAAGCTGAAAAGGTTGTATACACTTGGGAAAACAGTAAACTCTTAGAGATGCTAGCGGAAAACGGCAGCAGTCATCAGCAGTACGCCGGCACACTGTACTTGTACCGATGCTTCGCTGCCACGCGACCAACACCGGCCGCGGGTGGGCTGTTTACAAAGCGAGGACGCCCGCCTCTACGCGGATCCGAACCAGCGACCTAAGGAATGCAAGCCAGGCGTGCAATCCTTTCCACCACCGACTGACGAAAACGACGGCTGACGACATTGGAACAGCCAATAGCGGTATAGGAAAAGCTTGCGAGGCAACCAAGGCAAATAAACCAGTTTTATGTTGTGGAGTCGTTAAATGAACCATGAAACTCTAAACAAACAAAACCTCGGATACGTTAGCTTACAGCAAGGATTTGCGTATATGCTAGATGCAATGGGCTACGAAGAGCTACGTTTCCGGTGAACTATGTAGAAAACAAAATGCTGACCAATAAGCAGAAGTCAGAAAAACTCAATCTCCTAGATATTTAGACCGAGGGTAGGTATTAAAGGGACAAATATTGTTGTGAAAGTAGCATTCTACGCACGGTTGACGTGTTATTGCTGCTTTGAAGTCCAGTGTTAGCGAAGAAGGATTTGGTTAAAGACGCTGACCCTTTTCATAATTTGTGTTGACCAGGCGTTATTTTATTTTACGGATCGCAAACATTCCACCACGTTAAACGGCAAGAAATCCTATGTCCTCCGTGTAGACTATGGTGTCTTGCAGTGAGCGAGCCTACTACTTTACTACTTTCCTTATGTTGAAAGTCTTCCCATACAAACCATGTTCATAGGATGCAAATATGCGACGATGTTGTGCTGGGGAGTATGGCCCCTATCACAGAGGATTCCTCACCACTTCAGCGTGGATTGGAAGACCTACTATAGTTGTCTATATCCAGGACTCTTACACTTAACGTTTCTAAGTGCCGTGATGTGATAATTCCTTTTCTTCGTAGCAATAAGCTGCAGTCGCTCATAAATCTCTCCCCCACTCTGATTGTGAACGAAAATCCCATACAAGGACCACCCACGGTTAAGTATCGCGGTACTTTTTGTACCAAAATCTCTCATGATCCACGCATGTCTGTAAAAGTTTCCATAAAGTTAACAAAAACATTTTTATGCCCAGACTTATGAAAGGAAAAACGAGTACAAGCAGGCTTGTGATCCTTAAGGCTACAGACTTTAGTACTTTAGGTTTGTGAACTTATGCATTAACCCCCAATGCTTAACTACCCCATTGATATCTTTACTGGACTGCTTCTGAAACCCTAGGTTTTATTGGTACGATCGATAAAACCCACTTCCTAATAGAGCGGCTTCTCTATAGAGTATTTACTTGTTGCTCGTTTAAAAAATCGATATCTGCGATAATTTTTCTACCAAAGTATTAAATGATCAAGTTAGACCACTGTAGTGACTTAAAGTAACGCTCTCTTTCCATTCTACGTGTTCGAAATTCTCCTGCGTTTCATTACGTCGTAATACTATTTTGCCCTATCCAGCATGTTTGGTTTTGACCCAACGAATGTCAGAAAAATGGTGCGCGAGAAGTTGTTGAAGTGACAGCTGTGTATGTGTTTCATTTTCCCCTCCAACTGAAAGTATCTTCCAGTATATCCACAGCGGTGGTGTAAATGTCAAAAATAAACCTATTGAAGATTCATAAAGTTTATTTTTGATTAATCTGACTTGACAGTCATCCAGAACAATCCAAACAATTTCAAATTTGAACTTAGATGACCGCTAAACAAGCTATAAGTAGCATGCGGGGTCACTGTGATTCCTGTCACAAATTGCAACGCCCTCGATCCACAACACCAACATCCGACCCGTAGTTGCGAGTGTAAGTGACGGCAGCTTCAGCGTCAATCAAGTTCTCCCACGGCCACCAACGCCGCCATAGTTCAAAGTAACCTCGTGCGACCAGAAACATTTCATCAGATCGTGATTCTCAGTATCTTTGCGCTTAATGATCGCACGGATAGGTTGATAGGGTTTAATTGCACATGCACTGGATACTCCAGGAGATAAGGTCTATTGTCGCCCAGAAAGTAGTAGTGGCGATTGTCAAGCCAGCTGCGCTTAGCTTATTCGCCCTCTAATAGTTGCACGCGTTCCGAGAGGGTGGCATAGCAATCACAGGCCAAACTGCAGTGTGCATCGTTCTCAGCTACCTACCTAAACTCTTACTCGCTCGCTGGATTGCAGTGGATGGCTGGCTGTACGCAGGCTGTCTGGCGCCAAGTAAAGCTACAGAAATGCTTAACAACGGAAACAGCTGTCTCGCAGTTGGCGCATACGACCCAGTCGAATGAAGTCCAGATATTGCCAAAGAAGCACTTGGGCACGAACCTAACATTTGTAAATGATGCGTGCTACACTTCAGAAACACGAAAAAGAAGAATGTCATAACGAGTTGTCTATTAGCGGGTTGAAAAGTTGCGAATGCTGTACATACTCATAGGGTTCCTTAAGGCACCGGAGATGATGTTACTTTCAACAGACATGATGAAAGGGATCTACTGGACTGGATTACGGAAAAAGCCACAAGTGTATGGTTCGATCTCGGAATTTCACAGGGTCTGATACGCACCAGTCGAAGACATAGTGCAACTTTTCGCTGCAATGTGTGCCCCAAACGCTCATAACTCAGAAGCTGTAAAACAAGACTTCCATCGTTAGCTCTAATCCCTTATCTTTATGACGAAGAACACGAATATTAGAACTGTTGCTGGTGACAAATCTCCAAGAACGTTGGTTGTTAAATTCAAAATAACTCATTGGAGATCGTTTCGTGGTAGGTGCGCATTGGACAGACAGTGGTGATGCATATCTGCGACAATATGCGGACCGAAGCCTCCATATTACTAGCAATACTCCTTAAGAAACAAGTTTACATCACGTCACAGGGCGTCCACCGTAATAACCATGACGTGAGCCCAAAGTAACCGCATTGTCGTCAGCGACAGATAGCATATACCTGCTCAACACGATAGCTCAATTTAGGTTCATACCATGCATAAGTGCGCGCACGCACGATACAGAATTTTAAGCTCTAGGGGACTTGTCATATTACACCTGGATTCCACAATACATCGACAATATGACGGTCTGACCTACCAACTGCCCATGGTGAACGATGTGGTAGGGTAGAAAGCGTGAGGTCGTCAGTTGTCAAGTAAACTATGCGTTTTATGAACACATGAAGACTGAATATTTAGTCACAACACACGCCAAGCTTTGACGTCCGAAATGTGGTTGAATTTTGGTGGCAACGATCAGCCTCACCGAAGAAAAGAAATGACACTATTAATCATTCAATTTTAAGGTATCAGTAACACTCTGAAACGAAGACTGGCCACATGTCTTAGTATTGACCAGAATTGTTGGTATCCGTCAACGGTTCGTGAGATGCCGAACGTCGGTGTTATTGGAAACAGTTGACTACTGTTTCAACCCATCCAGGAGACGGTTTCAAGAAATCCCTCGATGAGGGAGACAGCAAATCCCTTCTGATTCGTGTCTGTTAAAAAATAGCATAGAAGGTTTCGATGAACAGTTTAGCAAGTTCGCCGTGAAACTAAGGGATATTGAATTGATTGTCATCACGTAGAACGCTGATGTCCCGCCGCTCATCTTAGAAGAGATTCGGCACGAACTCAATCTGTTAATGTGAAACAAAGTTGTACCCAAAAATCTTCCTCCATCTTCGCGAAAAGACCGAAATGACTATCAGTTGATTGGACTATCCGCCTTATTTTAGATCATGTAGGGCACTGAGGAAGTGCGTTCACGCAGAAGATTCTCAAATGTTGTTCACATCTTCAAAAAGAGTCTGAGTACTTTGCGCGGGGCATTAGTCTTGTCTCTATTGCCTCCAAAATTCTAGGCTGGTAGCCGAAAGGATTGCACACTTGCGTTGTAGTCCTGAAGTCGCCGATTTGAATCCATGTGGGTGCGGACGTCCTCGCGGCATGTCCAGCCCTCCCGCAAATGGTGTTAATCACGTCGCAGCGAAGTGCTGGTTCGGTGTGGCAGCGTACTCCGGATGCATTTTTCATATCTTTTCGAAAGGATATCATATTGTGATGACTCAATGATCCTCGTGTAAGCATAATAATCGAAAGGAAAGCCGAATTCCACTCAGGTCGTAGTCGCATTGACCAAATATTTGATTGTTGTCAAGTGTTGGAGCAGACAGTAACGGATGACCGAGTATGGTAATTTCCTTGATCTGAAAGCCGCCTTCGACTCCGTTGATTGTGCCATCATGGGCTTGTCGGGCAATGTTACGGAATATAACGCTTCAAAAAGGGCCGTGTCCTGCATGGATCCTAGAAATTGTCACTTCGCAATGGAAGCAACAAGAAAGTGGTCGTTGTCGAGCACTGGTGTTTGCAGAGTATTCCTCACGCCTGGTGAAAAACTGGATGGGTATTGCTGAGGTCCGCTGGTTGGTGCTTATGAAGAAACCCTCTTGAACCTTACCAGAATATCTGTTTGAACTAAACCGCATACTTTAAATATGCAACGTCCTCCTTATGCCCAATGACCATTTTCTTGGTGGGCATTATATGCTGTCACTGCGCTTAGATGAGCGAAATAACGAGGTGGCTAGCCAAAGTGATATGGAAGTATGGAGAGGAGACTTGGTCAGAAGGGTACGCGTCATTTTCATGTATTGAGTGCCACGATGGACGATAGCATTAGCTGGAAGGATGCATTGGCATAGTAGAGTAGCAGACTCAATGGCGCTCTTGCATTGTGTTTGGTTGCCAATATTACTCCGGCCGAGTTTGTAGTGAACGTAAAACAGTTACGCTTTCAGTATTTTGTGACACTGGATTTTATTCTTGTATGTATCTTCTGATCGTCCATTTGTTTTACTGACGGCGCGTCTGGTTCACTTT